GAAGCGCAACACACATAGGCATCCACATCAGCAAAATGACAAGTTTGATGACATCTACACTAGGGGAATGATCTCCGAAGTATCCTAGGATGAAGACCAACACACATAGGCATCAAGATCAGTAAAAATCACAGTTTTGGAAGGAGGAGGAAGATGAGGGAGGGGGAGAAGAAGAAGGGGAGGAGGAGAAAGAGGAGGGAGAAGGGGAAGAAGAGGAGGAAGAAGAAAAGGGGGAAGAGGAAGGAGGAGAGGGAGGAGAGGAAAAAGAAGAAGAAGAAGAGGAAGAAAGAATGAAGAAGGAGGGGAAACTTCCTCCCTTCCTACTCACCTCTTGTTGATCCCTAGGCAGTGTATTCCCAAGCTTGGTTCTAGCTCCTTGAGTATGGCTTCCCCACCTCCCCAAATTCTCTCCTCCTTCTCCCACTCTTCTCAAGTTATGGCAGGCTCCTACCTCTAAGGCTATGGAGTCCTTCCCTCTAGAAGGGCTAAGGGGACCCCTTTCAGCCTCTCCTCCTACCTCACAGCCTGAGGGCTATGGCGGACCACTCTCCTTGCTTCCTCCTAGCCTCTAGGCCTTCTCCCTTAGCCTCATCACCATAGTCACGGTCCAGGCTAGCTCCGACTCTCACTTCCTTGCTCTATCTCACTAGTACTCACTCACGGACTCATTTGGGCAGCATGGGCTCCTCTCATGCTCAAGTGGGAGTGGCGGCCTGCACCTCCAGCTTATGTAGGCTAAAACTGGTGCACCACCCAACCCTTAGGCCTCCCCAAGTGCCTCTAGGTGGACCGAGGTGCCCCCAAGGCCAAATTTTCGGTTTTGGCCTTTCTGGGGGTACCTGGGCCTCATTTTGGCCAGGTACATGCAGCCTGAGAGGCCGGTACCCTCTCGGACTACCCCTTGGTCTACCCCGGCCTATTTTTACTTCAAAAAGAGCTGCCTTTTGGGGTACCACTTCCCAAAATGCAGCGTTTACTGAATTTTGAGGGCCTAAAGTCCCATTTTTCGTCTTTTTCCTAGTCTAGGCCTCTTTTGGGTAGGCCGTTGCACTTTTCCAAGTGGCGGCTCCAATCTCAGCCTTGGATTTGGCTGAGATCCATGGTCCTCATCATTCCGAGCTTCCCCCAAGCTCCCCTTGGCCCAAAATTGAGCCTTGTACTTCAATTTTCAATTTTTTTGGTGTATCTGGCCCAATCCTTGGGCCAAATACGCAGTTTTGTCTTGTTGCTCTCTTTGTTTTCCCTCCATTTTGCTGCCAACTCATTCCGGAGCTAGCCGTTTTGTGTCAGCCCACAAAAGACGGCTAGATCTCCTCCTCCGCAAGATCAGATTTTAGATCTAGGCCCGAAAATGAGCCGACCAACTCATATCAGCATTTTTCCTTATTTTTGCTGCTTGAATTGAGATATTGCAGAGATAATGCCCCAAGGACCTTATCTCTGCAATCCGGACTGCCCTCCTAGGATCTAGGAGGGATGAGGTCATCATTGAGACCTGCAAGTCCCTACCGCTGCAGTCCCAACCTGGCGGCACTTTTTCCTGCACTCATTCCTCCTCCTCTGTCTCATTCTCCTCCCCTTTTCTCCCCCTTTTTCCTCCTTTCTCTCAACCCTCACCTACCTTCTTCCACCTCCATCACCCGCACCCATCCACCACAGCCAACCTTCACCTACCTTCTTCCACCTCCAGCACCTACACCCATCCACCATAGCCAGCCAACCTTCACCTACCTTCTTCCACCTCCCTCACCTACACCCATCCGCCATAGCCAACCTTCACCTACCTTCTTCCACCTTCATCACCTACAC